CATTTTATATAATATGATTACTGATACTAACATAGAAGAAAAAATATTTTGATGTATATTTACATATATATTTCCCTTTTTGTTTGAAGTCAAAGCTGACAACAGAATTCATGACTTTCTTGGGGTGCTAATTTCTAGGCTGTAACTGTTTCTAGTGATGTGGGATGCCTGTGCCAAGTCATTGCACATTTACAACACTGCTGATGGGGTTTCCCCCTAGAGAGGGAGTAGTTCATTGGAGCTTTAGTGCAGAAACCGGCACAGGTAGGTGCCATGTTTTTATAATTGCCACTAGGAAAAAGAGAGGACCCAGGGGTTTTTTCTTTGCCCAAGGGAGCCCCTCCCTTGTTGTAACTTAATTTGTCATGTGGATGTGGACCAGATGGGTGGAATTAAACCTTCTAAGGTGTTGTGGTTAGATTGTTTTAAAATGTCTGGAGACTCCAGGAAATGTGAGAAGTCATATTTCTTTTTCAAAGGACCATCCTTTTGTGGTTCAAATGTGGGCTTCTGAAACCGAAACTATAATGCCTGTGCCTATAGGGTCTGTTTTCCTTTTTCCTCCTATTGGTGTGTATACGAAGGCTGTGAATTTCTTGACTTAATGAATGTTGGTGTTTTGGTAAACAAGGCTCTAAGGCAGCAAGATAGGGGACTAGAAGCTAGATAGTCACTGAAGAAAGTCCTTGCTTCCTACATATTTGTACCCTGAAGAACTGGCCTTCCCAATCTTCCTGCTACAGGCACTCAGAGCATTCATACATCTGTCTGCCTGTGGTGGTGTGGAAATAAGCTATAGAAAAATCTCAGGAGGCTGCTTAAGTGGATTGAGGGCAAAAAAATTATAGGCAAGAGGAAAGTATTATATATAAGGTGAAAGAGAATAAAATATTGATCTAAAATGAACTCTGAAACAGGAGAAATATAAGCATTGTGTGATATTGTTCCTGAAGAAGTTAGCCCAAATGCAGTTTCTTATCCATTGTAGGTCCTGAATTATCTTGAAACTCAACGTGCTCCAGTGGTAAAGTAAGTTGAAAAGATAAGCCCCTCATTCACCCTGGGGAAAGAAAAAGCATATCTATATTCAGGACACAATGTATTGTTCTTTTTGCTTAGTTTCAAGAAAAGTCTAATGAGGTTGGAGCCAGTCAGGAGAACAGCTGAAATAATCAAAATTAGGGCTTCTACATCCCTTCCATCAGGACCTACTTAAATGGCCCATTCTGCAGTCTAAACAGTAGGAGGAGGATGTTATAGGGGAATTGCATCCCCCTCAAATTCATATATTGAAGCCCTGACTCTCAGTAGCTCAGAATTTGACTACATTTGGAAATAGACCCTTTAAAAAGGTACGCAATTAAGTAATATGGGGTCATTAGGGTGGGCCCTAATCCCAATGTGACTAGTGTTCTTGTAAGAAGAGATTAGAAAACCGAGAGACGGACACTAGACACACGCACGCACAGAGATGACCACGTGAATGACACAGGGAGATGACCATCTACAGGCCAAGGAGAGAGGCCTCAGAAGAAACCACCCTGCCAATACCTTGATCTCAGACTTCTAGCCTTCAGAACTGCGAGAAAATAAATTTCTGTTGTTTAAGTCACCCAGCCCATGGTATTTTGTTATGGCAGCCCTAGCAAACTAATACAGATGGGAACGGATATGGACAAACGATTAAAAATTATGAAGGGTCTAGAAGAGGGTATGATTGCCTCAGGATACTTTCAAGTCAGGGTTCCTTAAAGCAGGGTCTGCATACCATCTGCCTCAGAAACACCTCTGATGTTTTTTTAAAAACAGGTTCCCAGGCCCCTCTGGACTTAGAGTTTTAAAATTTTCTGGTATGAGGCCCAAGAATCTATCTTTTCAACAGACCCCCCCAGATGATGTTTTTTGCACACTGTGCAAGGTCTTGCCCAATCTCTGGCTCTCTTCTGGGCCTAGCTGGCTGGTACGAATTACATCTCAGCAAGTGCTGGTGTACCTAGTGCTCTGGCAGAGGCTCTGTGGTCCAGGAACCAGGTATACACCCCATTGTAAGTTGTCTCTCTCCAGGTGTCAGCCAGTGTTTACCAGCATGTGGGGGATGGACCAAAGGGAACCCTTAGGGGAGTTTACCCTTGATTCTCAGAAGAAATATGTGCCTATCTTACCTAAGACTGTAATGGCAAATTTTGAACAATACAGTACGTATGTTATTTCTCTCATGAGATTTACTTAAAGATATTACCTTGGCACCTAAATTCTCAGAGGGAGTACAGGGGATAGAAAGACCGTATCTAACTTTTGCTCTACATCAATTAAACGTACATGGAAATTTCTCTGACAGGGCCTAGTGCCTTTTTAAGCCCTGTACTGTATCTAAGTATTGTAAATGTAACATTAGTGAAACAGGTAAAGAACATATGTAAATAAAAACAAATGATAATCAATAGAAAGGAATCCGATCAATTATTTCAGCTAGGCTCTTTATTTTCATGTGTTTCTCCCTTACCAACGGGAATGGGAGTGGAAAGTATTCTTTCATACAGCGTCAGGTGGATTTTCTTTCCCCAATCTGTGAACCAGAGTGAAACCAAAGCTACGGAGAAAAATAGCTGAGGGTCCAAAGCAAACACAGTGACGAAACTGTGTTTTCAAAGTAGGCAGAATAGGTGGCATTCTGATTTAACTCTGCCAGTTCCCTGGGAACGTGTAAAACCTGTCCCACCCCCATTTACATTTGTGATTAAAGGCTGTCACGAGCTGTTATGTTTATTTTTTTAAACTGAAATGTAGACGGGCCATTGGCGAGTGCTCAGGTGGGCAGGTCGCTGGGCCCTCTCTCTGTTTTCCTTCTGGTGGCCCATCCTTGAAACAGCCCAGGTGTGACCCCACCTGCCCAGGGTACCTGCGCCGTCTCTGGACCACTTGCTCCGCGGCGGGCGCTGCCTGAGCGCGTGTCCCTCCTTGAGAACTAAACTTGAGTGTCTGTGTGGGCTAATTATTCCCCCTGGGTATTTTGTTTGTTTTTTTGAGGGGGTGGGGATGGGAGGATGGGAGGCGAATTGCAGTTGTCCGTGCTTCAGGTGCTTTCCAGAAACAAGAAGGCGGGCACTTAGAGCGAATTGATTGTAAACTCCAGACCTCCATACCCGGGGGAGGCTCCGGAGACAAGCCCCGGAGCCGCTGGGTTTGCTGCGCGGCCAGCCTGCGGCGAGCAGCTCCCGGCTCGGCCGCGGCGGAGCCCGACCATGAGGAGCGGCTGTCTGCGCCGAGGGGCCCCGCTCGCCCGCTGTAAGCACTGGCGCCCATTTCTAGACTTTTCTGAGCGGCCCTTTTCCCGGGTCCCGGCCTGAGGCCAGGCAAACCCAGGGGCCTTGACCCGCGGGCGGCGGCGCCTTCCTTAGAG